TTACAAGTATGAGACACTGACACCCTGCAGGGATTTGTTGAGAGTTTGTATAACTATGGTAACAGGAAAGATATCACAGTCTAAGCCTTGAACAGCTGCATGGGCAATGGCTGTTATTTTTTTTGCTGATATTGAGTCTTGAACTCAGGGCCTTGGTGCTGTCCTTCAGCTTTTTTTGCTCAAGTAGGTGCTCTGCCTCTGGCACTTTACCACTTGAACCATAGCTCTACAGGCTTTTGGATGGTTGTGGAGATAGTCTTACCAACTTTACTGCCTTCACTGGCTTTGAACCATGATCTTCAGATCTCAGCCTCCTGAACAACTAGCTAGGATTACTGTCATAAGCTACTATGCCTGGCTCAGAGGCTGTTTTGTAATGGAGCTAAGAGGTAGAAAAGAGAATAGTCATGCTCTGAGCTTTCCATGATGTTGGTCATCCATGCCAATCTATTTAGGCAGCTGGGTATTTGAGGCTTAAAGGGAGACACCCAAGCCAGAAATTGCCTGTCATCTTAGTTACCCAGGTGACCGAGATCTGAGGATCATGGTTCAAAGCTAACCTGGGCAGAAATTCTGAGAAACTTATCTCAAATTAACCACTAAAAGTCAGGAGTAGAAATATGACTCAAATGGTAGAAAACCAGCCCTGAGCAGGAAAAGAAAACACACAAGAAAAATACACAAGTGTAAGCCCCATTACTAGTACCAAAAACCAACAAAAACCAAAAACAATTAAAAACATGTTCCCTTTAAAAACTTAAGAATTCTAGCTGGGTGCTAGTGGCTCATGCCTGTAATCTCAGCTACTCAGGAGGCTGAGTTCTGAGGATTGTAGTTCAAAGCCAGCTCAGGCAGGAAAGTTCATGAGACTTTTATCTCCAATAAACTACTCAGAAAAAGCCAGAAGTGGCGCTGTAGCTCAAGTGGTAAAGAAGCTCAGGGATAGTACCAGGCCCTGAGTTCAAGGCTAGATATCACACACACACACACACACACACACACACACACACACACACACACACACACACACACACACACACACACACACACACACACACACACACACACACAAATTCAAGGCTAGATATCACACACACACACACTTCCAAAAAGGTGCAGAAAAGACTGAGGGAGCCAGTAATGGGGGCAAAAAGGAAAAGAAAAGGGTTAAAAGACGAGTGAAAGAAAGCAGAGCCTCTGGGATGGTCCTGGGAGAATTGTGGGGTCAAGGAAACTTTTCAAAGAATGTGGTGTGCACCGAGGCAGACAGAGAGGGCAGAGCCAGGTTAGGGGTGGAAGTCTTTGAGGAAGGAATGCAGGCAGATTGGTACTGGAAGAGAGAGGCTGAGGAATCTGTAAAGAGGAGGAGTTGGGTGTAGGCAGGGAAGATAGGGCATGAGGAGGTGTGTGGAGGAGGAAAGGTTGATTGATGGAAGAAGGGCAAGACAGATGAGCCAGGGGACGGTGCTGCTTAGAGGATTTGAATTTCAAAGAAAGCAAGTCTGCTTGATAAAATATCCCCAGCAACATGCAGCTTTGAAAAATGGTCCCATGATAGGTGCTGGTGGCTCAAGTAGCAGAGAGATCTGAGGATTGAAGTTCAAAGCCAGCTGGAACAGAAATCTGAAAGACTCTCATCTCTAGTTAAAGCTGGAAGTGGAGGTGTGGCTCAAGTGGTAGAGCATAAGCCTTGAACAGAAAAAATAAAGTCAGACAAGAACACGAGGCTCCAAGTTCAAACCACATACACACATACAGTCTCAGTTTCAGGTTTCTATTTGAGGGTCCTGTGAAGTGTGAAGACATAAGCCTCTACCTTAGTAATCCTTTACCAGATAGTCTTGCCACGCCTTACAATCTTCATCCTTCCTCTCTTCCATACAGCCTGGTAAGTGTGCCACATATTCTGTGGGAATGCAGAAAACCTACTCCATGATCTGCTTATCCATCGATGATGATGATGATAAAAGTTACAAAACCAAGAAGGTCTCCAAGAAGCTCTCCTTTTTGAGTTGGGGTACCAGTAAGAACAGACAGAAGTCAGCCAGCACCTTGTGTCTCCCAGCAGTTGGAGTGGCAAGAGCAAGGCCTCAAGTCAAGAAGAAGCTGCTGACTCCTTTTAGCCTGCTCAACTCTGAAAGCTCATTGTACTAAGTACCACATGGACAAAACAGATGTTTATCCGCTGGCAGGTCAAGGCCTTTCAATCTGTGCCATAGGAGAAAATATCTAAATGTCGTTACTTCCCGTTTTTCCCAGTATAAACTTGTCTTTGGTGAGCTTTTAGAGAAGTGACAAGAATCCTCTGGACATCTGCGGGAAGCACATTTATTTTTCACTATATTGCTGCAGATTATTTATTTTAGAAGGTATTGTACATAGAACAATGTCCAGATGATGGCTGCTTTTAATTATTTGTTAGGAGCTAACAGAGGTAAACTGAGGCTACCTTACTACATTTGTGATATTTCTAAGTGTCCAGACAGGGGTAAGTCTGTCCTTCATCTAGAGTCCAGTGGACCCTTGAATTAAAGATAGGTCAGGGCAACAAAAGATAGGGAAATTTGTATAGGAAAATTTTGCCAAGCTGGGCACTATTGGCCCACAGCTGCAATTGAAGCAACTCAGGAGGCTGAGATTTAAGGATTACAGTTGAAGCCAGCCTGGGTATGAAAATTAGGCTGATCCCTAATGAATTACCAAAAGGCCAGAAGTAGAGGTGGGGCACAAGTAGTAGAGCACCAGCCTTGTGCAAAAAAGTTAAGGGAGAGCACCCAGGACCTGAGTACAAGCCCCTAGAACCAGCACACACATTATACACACACACACACACACACATACATAAATATGGCCCTCAAAGCTATTTCCTCTGGGGAATTTATTACCTTAAAATAAGATTTTACTCTTCTATGAATGCTATTTCTAGATCAAGTCTAGTGCCAAATTCATTTCTTTCTTTCTTTTTTTTTTTGGTGGTGGTAGGGATTGAACCACTGCCAAAAATAAAGAAAAAAGAAAAACAATTTACAAGTAGCTTGTACTTTAGTGTGGCTCCACCTAGAAGGTGCTGGCCTTGTGGGAGTGTTTGATACACCATTTTGTCTCCAGTATAGATACCGTATTATTATACTCCAAACCTTTCAGTACCTTCTTGAAAGTAAAAAGTACATAACTGTATTTTAAGTGTCTTAGGCAAGAGAGTAGGTAAAGATGTCAGTGGTTCAAGTCTTAAGCTGTTTTTGACCTTTTTGTTTTTGTTATTGTTTTTAATGAACATTCTTACCAGTTTGACTTCTTCGGCTATAAGATGGATGACGCTGTGACTCTAATGATGGATTCATGGCTGACACAGGAAAGGCCATGTGGCTTAATATAGAGCATTGTGGTCTTTGTTTAGAGAATTAACAAGGATTGACCATATTTTTCTATTGTGCAATATCTTAAAGGAAGCAACCACCTTTAGGAAATGTGTCCCCGCTGCTCCTACGACTGTGTTTGTGTAAATATATAAATAAATGCATTCGTTCAACTGATTTAAGATTTTGTTACTTCATTTCCCTCAAATCATTATCAATCTCATGTACCGGTTTTTTCTCTTGCATTTTATTTTCCAAAAACGACTAACATTTGACAAAATTAATGAGCTTTCATTCAGATGTTTAGTATTTTTTAAACCACATGCCATTATTAGTTGTACATATAAGCTGCATGCCAGTGGCTCATGCCTGTAATCCTAGCTACTCTAGAGGCTGAGATCTGAGGATTCAGGTTGAAAGCTAGCCCAGGCAGAAAAGGCTATATGAGGCTCTTATTTCTAATTAACCAACAAAAAGCTGGAAATGGAGTTGTGGCTCATGTGGTAGAACACCAATCTTGAATGGAAAAGCTGAGCTAAATCAAGAATGTGAAGCTAAATTCAAGCCTTAATACCAGCAAAAATAAAATAAAATAAAAATACAGGGACAAAGGACTCAAGGGTGGAACTATTGTACATTAGTTTAGTTACATGGGCAACAGCCCCAGAGCACAGATCTGCAGACAAGACCTGAAGATATAAGTGAGTCATTATAGCTTTGTTTCCTGTACATGCCTACAACTGCTGCCTGGAACCTTCTATTCCCTTCTATGACAGGCACAGGTCAAGGTCCCTCATATAAATATGTCCTAGCTGAGTTTTTGCTGAGACCAAGAGGTCCTCACTAGTTGGGAAGGTGGCTCCGTGGTAGAGTGCTTGCCTTCTATCCATGAGACCCTGGGTTCGATTCCTCAGCATCACATAAGCAGAAAAAGCCAAAAGTGGCGCTGTGGCTCAAGTGGTAGAGTACTAGCCTTGAGCTGAAGAGCTGAGGGTCAGCGCCCAAGTCCAGAGTACAGGCCCCACAACCGATAAAAAAAAAAGAGGTCCTCACTGGGTCCTTTTTGTTGTAACAGACCATGAGCACTGACACCTATGCTCAAATCCAGACCTCAAAGGAACATCAAGGACTTGTCTTTCATTGGTTACTCTGAGAGGAAATCATATTTCTTGGTTTGACTGGTTGTGCTGGTATCAAGACGAGTTCTGGTACTTTGGGCCTCATACTCTTGCTTGGCTTTTTCACGCAAGGTTGGAGCTCTACCACAAGAGCTATTCTTCCATGTGACTTTTTACTGGTCAATTGAAGATAGGAGTTTCATAAATTTGTCTATCCAGGCTGGCTTCCAAATGCAAACCTCAGATCTCAGCCTCCTAAATAGCTGGGATTACAGGTGTGAGCTACCAGTGCCCTGCCTTTTTTTTTTTTTGCCAGTCCCAGAGGGTAAACTCAGGGCTTGGTGCTGTTTCTGACTTCTTTTTTTATTTGTTGGTCATGGGGCTTGAACTCTGGGCTTGGGCACTGTCCTTGCACTCTGCAGCTCAAAGCCGAGTGCTCTACTGCTTGAACCATAGCACAATGTCCAGTCTTCTAGTGGTTTATTGGAGAGGACAGTCTCACGGACTTTCGTGCCCAGGTTGGCTTTGAACCTCGATCCTCAGATCTCAGCCTCCTGAGTAGCTAGGATTACAGGCGTGAGCCACTGGCACCCAGCTGTTTCTTGATTTTTAAATAGGAAAAGCAGAAGCTTGTGGTCTAGGCAAGACAACAGTAGTAGATGTGAAGTCAGGTCACCTGGACTGGGTGAAGAAGGTATAGATCTGCTGGGCCACCGCTGGGCCTACCACCTGCTCCAGTTCTTGGATAGAAGCATTGCTGAGTTGTTGGATGCTTGGGAACTTCTGAAGAAGAAGGAGAGCTTTAACTTTTCCAACTCCTGGGATCTGTTGAACAGTTCGAACAAGGGAAGTTTCAGAGAGCCCAACCCGTGTTGTCTTCCTGAGGAAAGGGTTCTTCCTGATCACTTGGCTCTGCTCTTCCACCTGAACCAGAAATTAAAAGAACAGCTCATAAGCGCCCTCTGGAGGAAAGGAGGTTTATTATTAGTGGCTGGGAGGGGGCGGTACAGGGGGAAGAGAGGAGAAGAGAAATAGAGAATGAATACTGGGTCTTGAACTCAGGGGCCTGGGCACTGTCACTTTGCATTTTCCATTCAAAGGTATTTTCCCACTTGAACCACAGCTCTACTTGTGGCTTTTTTTTTTTTGTCAGTCGTGGGGCTTGAACTCTGTCCCTCAGCTCAAGGCGAGCGCTCTACCACTTGAGCCACAGTGCCACTTCTGGTTTTCTAGTGGTTTATTGGACATAAGAGTCTCACAGGGCTGGCTTTGAACTGTGATCCTCATATCTCAGCCTCCTGAGTAGCTAGGATTACAGGCGTGCCTGTAGGATTACAGGTGCCTGGCTCACTTCTGGCTTTTTGGTAGTTAATGGGAGATAAGAATCTCATGGACTTTCCAGCTTGGGCTAGCTTTGAACCAGGATCCTCAGATCTCAGCCTTTTGAGTACCTACGTTACAGGCAAAAACAACTGGCACCCAGTTTCCCCATCACTAGTTTCTAAATTTAATATTATTTACTTTGCCAGTCCTGGGGCTTGAGCTCAGGACCTAGGCACTGTCCTTAAGTTTCTTTTGCTCAAAGCTAATACTTTACCACTTGAGCTACAGCGCCACTTCCAGCCTTTTCTGTTTATGTGGTACTGAGGAATCAAATCCAGGGCTTCATGCATGCTAGACAAGCATTCTACCATTAAGCCACATTCCCAGCCCTTTTAAAAAAATTTTTAAATTGTTATTATAAAGGTGATGTACAGAGGGCCCTATTACTGGGATTCTCCCCCGCCCCCGGTTGTGAGGCTTGATCTTGGCCTGGGCACTGCCCTTGAGCTTTTTTTACACAAGGCTAGTGTTCTACAACTTTGAGCCACATTTCTGGTTTTCAGGTGGTTAATTGGAGATCAGAGTCTCTGGGAGCTGGGCATCTGGTGGCTCATTCCTATAATTGTAGCTACTCAGGAGACTGACATCTGAGGACTGAAGTTTGAAGCCAGCTCAAGCAGGAAAGCTCCTGAGACTCTTATCTCCAATAAACTACTCTGAAAAAGCCGGAATTAGCACTGTGGCTCCAGTGATAGAGAGCTACCTTTGAGCACAGAGGCTCAGGGACAGCGCCTAGGCACTGAATTCAAGCCTCAGGACTGGCAAAAATAAAAAAAAGGTCTCTAAGAAATTCTAATGAGCCAAGTTGAAAAATTACTTAAAAGAACCAGTTTGCTTTTTTTCCCCCCCTTTTTCCTTCCTTCCTTCCTTCCTTTCTTTCTTTCTTTCTTTCTTTCTTTCTTTCTTTCTTTCTTTCTTTCTTGTCGGTCATGGGGCTTGAATTCTGGGCCTGGGCACTATTCCTCAGCTTTTCAGCTCAAGGCTAGCACTCTACCACGTGAGCCATAGTGCCACTTCCGGCTTTTTTTTTTCCCTGCTTATGTGGTTCTGAGGAATCGAACCCAGGGACCTCATGCATGCAAGACAAGCACTCTGCCACTGAACTACATTCCCAGGCCCCAATTTTCTTTCTTAAGTAAATAAATGTAATAAGCTACACACAGAGATACCGGTGCTTACTAAATGTAATATGGAGAATTAAGATTTTTCACCAGTGGAAATGCAAGATAGTGAATGATGGAGTTCTTGTAGCCTGAACATCCAAAAAGCAGACCTTAAACTTCATCACTTGTGTTATGTGGTTATCTAGAGGAGGGGGCAGCCTCTATGGGCAGCAGAGGCAGCTTTTGAACCTAAACATCTCCAAAAAAAGATTCAATAAACCAAGACAGGTGCTGATAACTCACACCTGTAATCCTAGCTACTCAGGAGACTTGAGAGCTAAGAATGGAGTTTAGAAGCCTCCCAGGCATAAAACTCAATAAAACACTTCTCCCAAATTAACCAGCAAAAAGCCACTAATGGAGATGTGGCTCAAATGGTAGAGCGCCAGCCTTGAGCGATGAAAAAGCTAAAGGATAATGCCTAGGCTCAGGGTTCAAGCCACAGTACTGGCATAAGAATGAGGGGGAAAAAAGATGTGATAAACCAATAGAAGGAATGTCAAGGATTGGACTTATAGCTTATAACTATAGAAAGGACCGCTACCAGCACAGAGGAGCCACCAAGCCCTTGAGAATCTGCAGAAGGACAATTGTGAAGGAGGATTAGGTACTTACAAACTGGACAATAAGACAGGCTGCTTCCATCTGGTTTCCTACAGGAAGTAAGGCCATCCCAAGATCCAGCACCACAAACTTCTGTATGGCTGGGAAGTACTGTTCATTGATCTGTGTTTTTTCCACCACTACAATCCCTTGAAGATGACCACACTTCCAAGAGAAAGACAGTAGAGCATTTTGTAACAGAATTCCTTCCAAAGTTGAGACAGCTGCCCCATGTTAATGGCTCATGCCCGTCATCCTAGCAACTCAGGAAGCTGAGATCCGAAGATTGAAGTTCAAAGCCAGCCTGGGTAGGAAAATGTGTGAGACTCTGATTTCCAATAGACCAGTCTAAACCCAGAAGTGGAGCTGTGTGGTTCAAGTGGTAGAGTTCCAGCATTGAGCAGAAGAGCTAATGAGCAGTGCCCAGGCTCTGAGTTCAAACCCTAGTACAAGAGAACTATCACTGTGGGCTCCCAATGTCCCATGGTATTATACAAATTATTCTAAAGGATGGGGGTGCAATTCAATGTTCTAGTTCTCCTTAATTCAATACGTACATTTCGAACCCGGACAAGTCTCTTTCTGTAGCTATTTCCTGCCACCAACTCAGCTTCGGTGATGTAAATAATGCAAGATCTACTGGACAGGTAAAAATCTGCCAAGTTCAGGCCATCCTCAAAAAGGAGTTTAATTTTTCCTTGAAATAAAGAAAACAAAATGAGTTGTTTAAACTCCCCCCACCTCCCTTTTCTATGTCAGTCCTGTGGCTTGAACTCCAGGTCTGGGCACTGCCCCTTAGCTTTTACACTCAAGGCTGGTGCTCTACCACTAGAGCCACACTTCCACTCCCAGTTTTTTTGCTGATTAATTGAAGATGAGGCTCACCAATATTTCCTGCCCGAACCTTGATCTTCAGATCTCATACTAGCTGAGTAGCTGGGATTACAAGTGAGCCACCTGCACCCAGCTTAAACATTGGATGAGGGATCAAGGGTGGATTTTTTTTTTTTCATACCGACCTTGCATCTCTTGAGCCAGCTGTGACCCTCGCCATTTCTCATGGGCCACCACGTACCCCAAAGGCACGTGCACAGGGCCAGTGTCACCAGGGGGATCGCTTTCCATCGGCGGTCTCAATCTCATGAGGGAAATGCAAAAACAAAACAAACCCAAAATCCTTGAACAAGCTCTATCCTATACCCCTGCCCCATTCTACCCGTGTGGACTTTCTAAACAACAGCATTATTTGCCAAAGTCTAAGAACGAGGAGACTCACCCCCACCCCCCAGATGGCTTTATGGTTCATTTCTGGTACCTGATCGACTCCCGCGTTGTGCCCAAGGCCCACCTGAGACCTCACCACTTCCGGGTTCCCACGCTCTGCGGTTTCGCCTAATGTATTTCATTCTGCCCGCCTCCCCGCCTTCTGCAGCGTTGGATAGGCTATACTATTGGATTGACATCTACTGTGACCACTGCGCCACTCCGAGCTTACGTGAACTACATTTTTCGCCCAGTCTGTTTCATGCCGCCCGCCCTCCCCGCCTTCTCCCGCCTCAAGCAGCACAGGATAGGCTGTGATGAAGATTGACATCTACTCTGACCAATAGAAGCATCTATATCGCAGATCGCTTTCATACTGGTGGGAATTTGAACGAAGCGCGCTAGTTGCCAAGAGCGACGGGGCATGGAAGTAAATTCAGCTGTGATTGGTCCAGGACAAACGGGAACCAATAGCAAGCGCGGATACTGCAAAGTCTAGAAGGGAAAACAGCGGTTGGCGTTAAACCAGCGCGGAGAGGCTCAGCTGAGGGGTGCGGTTCTGGCTGTGGGAATATTTACCAGGAAGATCCAGGTTCCAGGCCTGCCTACCCCCACAATCCCTTAACAAAGATGCTGCTGAGCTTTCGGAGGGGCCGCAAGAGGCAGTTCGTAAGTGACCCCCTCACCCGCCCTGCGCCCTGGCCCCGGGAGTTTTGGGGGTGACAGGTCGATGTGTTTGGATTTGGCCTGTGCGTTCGGGATGGGAAGAATCCTCTCAGAATTATTGTGATCAAAATATAAACTGTAAAAAGAAAAAAGCCAGGCGCTGGTGGCTCACGCCTGTAATCCTAGCTACTCAGGAGGCTGAGATCTGAGGATCGCGGTTCAAAGCCAGCCCGGGCAGGAAAGGCGGTGAGACTCTCATCACCAATAAACCACCAGAAAGCCAGAAGTGGCGCTGTGGCTCAAGTGGTAGAGCGCTCGCCTTGAGCTGAAGAGCTCAGGGACAGCGCCCAGGCCCAGAGTTCAAGCCCCAGGACCGACAATAAATAAAATAATATAATATAAACTGTGTGCCTGTAATCCCAGGTACTCAGGAGGTTGAGTTCTGGAGGATTGTGGTTCGTAGCCAGCCTGGGCAGGAAAGTCTGTGAGACTCTTTTTAAGCAGCAGCAAGAACACAACAAAACCCACCAGAAATGGAGATGTGGCTCAAGTGGTAGAGCACTAGCTTTCACTGAAGAAAAAAAGAAAAAAGTGCCCAGGTTCTGAGATCAAGCCTCAGTGATTGCACTAAAAATAAGGCTGAAAGCTTAGCAGTTGAGCGCCTCCTTAGTAAATGTAAGGTCCTGGCCTCAAACCGCAGTAACTGACCCCCCCCCCCCCAAAAAAAAAAAAGGAAAACCCATTTTGGAAGGCTTAACTAGAGACTAGTCCCTTAGGATTCAGAGATTAAGAAGACTTTTGGGGCCATGTGTGCTGGTGACACTGGGGTTTAAACTCAGGACCTTTGGCTTTCTAGGCAAGAGCACTACCATTTGAGCCATGTCCCCAGCCCTTTAAAAATTATATACATACCACTTACAAAATATAATGTGTATGGTATATATACACATATAGTTATCTATATAAAATATGTTATTTTCTGTAGGCTCCCGCTTTTTTGCCTAGACAGTCTTGGACTGTGATTCTCCTACTTCTGACTCCCACATAGCTGGGATTACAGATGAGTCCCACCACCACGCCTTTTTTTTTTTTTTTGCTGGTCATGGGGCCTGAACTCTGGGCCTGGGCGCTGTCCCTCAGCTCTTCAGCTCAAGAACCCAGGGCCTCGTGCGTGCAAGGCAAGCACTCTACCACTGAGCTACCTTCCCAGCCCCAGGCCTATTTTTTGACCTAAGGTCTTGTTAGCTGTTTTTTGGTGGTTTTTGTTTTTTGTTTTTGTAACATGTCCCAGCTTTCAAATTGTGATTTCCACTTTCCAAGTGGTTGGGATTAGCAAAAGTTTTCCAAGAAGCTAGGAAGGTGACTCAGTGTAAGAGTGCTTGTCTTGGGCTGGGAAGGTGGCTCAGTGGTAGAGCGCTTGCCTTGCATGCCTGAGGCCCTGGGTTCGATTCCTCAGCACCACATAAGCAAAAAGAAAAATACCGGAAGTGGCGCTGTGGCTCAAGTGGTAGAGCGCTAGCATTGAGCTGAAGAGCTGAGGGATAGCGCCCAGGCCCAGAGTTCAGGCCCCACTACCGGACCAAAAAAAAAAAAAAAAAGAGTGCTTGTCTTGCATGCATGAGACTCTGGGTTCAATTCCTCAGAACCACATAAGCAGAAAAAGCTGGAAGTGGTGCTGTGGCTCAAATGGTAGAGCGCTAGCCTTGAGCTGAAGAGCTGAGGGACAGCGTCCAGGCCTAGAGTTCAGGCCCCACAACCAACACACACACACACACACACACACACACACACACACACACACACACACACACAGTGTTCCAAGCCCACAAAGCCCCCACAACCAACACACACACACACACACACACACACACACACACACACACACACACACACACACACACACACACACACACACACACACACAGTGTTCCAAGCCCACAAAGCCATTTTTTGTTCTTGAGTGTCACTCTAGATTGTGGCAGGGCAAGAGAGGGGACAGACACACGAACTGTTGAGTTCCATAGAGAGAGGCGGGCATGGAGGGATATGTCTAGAAAGCCTGCTCCTATGGGTTCTTTTTTTTTTTTTTGTCAGTCGTGGGATTTGAACTCTGGGCCTGGGCGCTGTCCCTCAGCTCTTCAGCTCAAGGCGAGTACTGTGCCACTTGAGCCACAGCACCACTTCCGAGTGGTTTATTGGAAATAAGAGTTGCAGGGACTTTCCTACCTGGGCTGTCACCATCCTCAGATCTCAGCTTCCTGAATAGCTAGGATTCCAGGCGAGAACCACTGGTCCTCGGTTTCCCATGAGTTCTCGGGAGCGCAACTCGTGTGGTGATAGAGGCTGTGGAAGACTTTTAAAATCTACCGGTCCCTCTACTTCCGTTCCCTTCCTCTCCTGTATCTTAGGCCTTCTGATGCCCAGTTGATTCTATGAAGGGCCACTTTGGCCTTTTGGGAATAGTCCCCCTCCCTCCTGGCTCACCCGGAGCCCCTGGTCCCTGGCCTCTCTCCCCCACATGACTCTTGGGGCATCACAGCAAATCCTAGCAAACAGGATCCCTTGTTCGTAGAGCACTTCCTCCAGTGCCTTGCTCTTCTCCTTGTTCATGCTGTTCCTTGTCCTTTTCATCACACTGCATGTGTGGCAGAGTGCTACCTTGAAGGCAGCCCACTATCCTCTATGATTTTCTCTAAAGCATTACATGGGTTTTCTTGCCCTTCCCTCACCTCCATTCTGCTGTCAGTGTCCCTTGGCACACTTGTTATGCCAGCAGTGTGGGTGTTTTGGAGGAAGGGGACCCCAGGTCTTTGTTGCTGTGGTGGTGTCCCCCTCAAGTGGGTGGAAGTGAATGACGTAGTGCCCAGAAAATGGAGACTAAGGCAAGTGAAGGAACATCCAAATGGCCCCGGATGTAGAGATCAGCTGCCCCAGATCAGCACACTCGGCTGTGCATCCCAGGGGAGCGTGTTCTGTTGTAGGGAGTCAGGGAACCCACCACAGGGGCCAGTGCCTGGGACTGGTGAGGGGCTGGAGGGTGACTTGGGGACATCAGGGAAGCGGCACTGAGGTGGTGGCACTTGTGATAGCATCTGCCAGGGACTGTCTGCCCAGAAGGATATCGGAGATGAGAGAAGAGCGGGGGGGGGGGGGGGGGGGGGGTGGGGTGCTGGGGGGGGAGGGCTTAGGAGGTGATAGTGGATGACAGGATCCAGTGATTTTTTTTTTCCCTCCTCTGTGACCTCTCCTGGGTTTTATTTGGGCAGAAACACATCATCCATGGCCTCCTCCCTGCAGCCAGCATTGCTCCAAAGCCAGCTGTGCCCCGCACGCCTCCTCCCCGCAGCCCAGACCCCTCTCCAGAGCGACCCCGGTGAGTCCAGATTGAGTAACGCCTATGCCCTGTGCCCAAGCCGGCAAGGACGAGACTCAAGTAGTGGACAAGTGGGAAATATCTGTCCCCACAGCCACAGGGCCATCGGGCCACAGTGCAGGTGTGAACTGGCTCAATATCTCCTGGGGATCTTCCTGTCCCTAGATCTGCTCTGGCTGCAGCCATTCTGGCAACCACATTGACTGGACGGACCGTTGCCATTCCCCAGCCTCGTCCAAGATCCTGGTCTGAGAGTGACACCTTCTCTGTCGGAAAGGACAGCACCACTGAGCTCCAGGCAGCCACCGCTGAGCCCAGGCCTCGGTAGGGGTCAATGTGGTCACTCTGTGTGTATGTGTGTGCGTGTGCGTGTGCATGTGCTGGTCCTCAGCTTGAGCTCAAGACCTGGGCACTGTCCCTGAGCTTTTTTTTTTACTTAAGTCTGGCATTCTACCAGTGAGCCATAGCTCCACATCCAGCTTTTTGGTGGTTCATTGGAGATAAGAGTCTCATAGACTTTCCTACCCAGGCTGGCTTCAAACCAAGATCCTCAGATCTCAGCCTCCTGAGTAGCTAAGCAAATGTTCTACCATTTGTGGTATGTGCCCAGCCCTATTCACTGCTCTTGAATCAGAACTAGCTCTAGAGCAGATCTTGCTGAATGGGAACTGGTGATTCACACCTCTGTTTTTGAGATCTGAGGATCCCAGTTCAAAGCCAGCTGGAGCAGAATTAATCAGCACAAAGAAATGGAGGTGTGGCTAAAGTGATAGAATGAGGCACTGAGTTCAAGTCTCAGTACCAGCTCTAAAACAAAACAAACCTAGCAAGAAATTTGAAGTATATAGAAGTGAATGGATAGTGGATGCTTTAGTGTTTAAGCTTCTATTTTTTTGTTTGTTTTTTAATTTAATCTAAGTGTTACTGAGGAATCAAACCCAGTGCTAGGCAAGCACTCCACACTCAGCCACATTCCCAGCCGATCTATTTTTTGTTTCAAACCCTGGGCTTTAAGTGAAGACCTGGGTACTTTCCCTGAGCTATTGTGCTCAAGGCTAGTGCTCTACCACTTGAGCTACAGCTCCACTTTGGGCTTTTTGGTACTTAATTGGAGATAAGGGTCTCACAGACTTTTCCGCCCCAGCTGACTTTGAACCAGATTTCTCAGATCTCAGCCTCCTGAGTAGCAAGGATTACATGTGTAGGCTACAGGCACCTGGCCAGCTTCTATCTATTTTGGAGTGTGTTGTAATACCTCGATGGTGGGAACTTGGAGGGACCTGCCTTAATATGTATGCAGCAGTTGAGTATGATGGTGCATTCCTGTAATCCTGGCACTGTTCAACAAGTCTGGGCTATGTAGTGACAAAAACAAACAACAGTGTGTAGAAATGGATGTCAATGTTTGTTCTCTTGTTTAGAAACTCCTTATTGCTCTAATATAGGCTGAATTGGGAGAACAATTTGGGCAAAGCAATTTCTTTGCCCTCCTTTGAGACATTGGACTACAGGGAAGAAGAGGAAGGCGGTATGCTGGTGTCTGCCAGCAACAAGGAGTCAGGGGACGGCAGTGCTGTGCACTCTGCATCCCACAGAAGCCAGGTAACTGCTACCCTCCAGGGTCCTTCCTTGACCTTAGGCCATGATTAATGTAGGCCGGGGGGAGGGGAGGGGGCGTTTGCAACCTGCTCTCCAATTGTCACATTTGATCATTTGATTCTTTTTGATTTGGCTTTTAATGTGTCCAGCTTGATTGCTGTCTGCTTCTGCTGAAAATGTAAACCTTTTTCCCTTGTTCTTCAAAGGAAATGGTAAAGTTCTTCATGCTTCTTGTCTGTGTGTTTTTGCCAGTACTGGGATTTGAACTCAGGGCCTGGGTACTCTCCTTGAGCTTCTTGACTCAAAACTAACATTCCACTATTTGAACCACAGCACAGCTCCACTTCCGGCTTTGTGATGGTTCGTTGGAGATAAGAGTGTCTCAGACTTTTCTACCTGGTCCGGCTCTGAACTGTGATGCTCAGTTTTAGCGTCGTGAGGGGCTAGGCTGACAGGTGTGAGCCACCAGCACCGCACTGGTGTGGTGTGAAGCTCCTCATGGCCCAAGTCTTGTCCTTGCCGTGCAGGCTTTTCTTGAGATCTGTGAGATTTTCTCCCAGCCCACCAGACGGCACCCTTTTAGTGTCATTTAAGAAAGCAGAGCTTCCTGGTGCTGGTAACTCACACCTGTAATCCCAGCTACTCAGGAGGCCAAAATCTGAGGAGCACAGTTTAAAGCCAGCCTGGTCAGAAAATTCCATGAGACTCTTACCTCCAGTGAACTAACAAAAAGCTGGAAGTAGAGCTGTGGCTCAAATGTACCAGCCTTGAGTAAAAAAGTTAAGGGATACTACCCAGGCCCTGAGTTCAAGTCTCATGACCAGCACCAAACAAACAAAAAAAAAGCAGTTTAGGACTGGGAAGGTGGCTCAGTGGTAGAGTGCTTGCCTTGCATGCATGAGGCCCTGGGTTCAATTCCTCAGCACCACATAAGCAGAAAAAGCTGGAAGTGGCACTGTGGCTCAAGCAGTAGCCTTGAGCAAAAAAAAGAGGCTCAGGGACAGTGCCCAGGCCCTGAGTTCAAGCCCCAGGACTGGCAAAAAAAAAAAAATCAGCTTAGTTGTTTAGGGAGGCAGGTGGAAGGGGAGAAGTCCTGGTAAGACTGGACCCATCAGGAGCACATTCCTCCCAGCCAGCACTTAGTCTGTGCTTGTTCTTGTGTAACGTCTAGGTGCTGCTATCGAGTGAAGAGGACGGTGAGCAGGATGATGATGGCTTGGAGCTGGATGGGCTCTCCAGCCCCTCTCCTCTCACCAGCCAGCAAGGTGAGCCACACCTAGTGTAGTCACCTGGACAAGAACAGCGATGGTCCTGCTAAATGTTGGCCGCTAGCGCTTGCGTGTCCACGTCTCCATGCTGTGGCTCTGTGCTTTCATTCATTCATTTATCAATTAATTTATTTTTGTGCCAGTACTGGTCCTTGCACTCAGAATCTGAGGTTTTTCCTGCACTTTTTTGCTCAAGGAAAGCAAGCACACTATCACTGGAGCTACAGCTCCTTTTCTGGCTTTTTTTTTCTTTTTTCTTTTTTTTCAGGTTAACAGAGATAAGAATCTCCAGGACTTTTCTTCCTGGATTGGCCTTGAACTCTGATCCTCAGATCTCAGCCTCCCGAGTAGCTAGGATGACCAACATGAGGCACTGGCACCCAAACTAGATTTTGAATATTATATCATGTTTTAAGCAAATTTATCAGTGGTGAGTGTGTGTGTGTGTGTGTGTGTGTGTGTGTGTGTTTCTTTTTTTTAGTCCTGTAGAGCTTCTTTCTTTCTGTGTTTTGCAAATCTGTGGCTTTGTTGTTGTTTTTGTTTTTTGTGCCAGTACTGGTGCTTGAATTTGGGGATGGGTGCTGACCCTCAGAATTTTTGCTCAATGCTGGCACTCTGCCACTTAAGTCGAATCTGCAGTTCTAGCTTCTTTGTTTTGTTTTCGGTTGCTGGGCTTGAACTCTGGGCCTGGGCGCTGCCCCTCAGCTCTTCAGCTCAAGGCTAGCGCTCTACCACTGGAGCCACCGTGCCACTTCCGCTTTTCTGGTGGTTTATTGGAGATAAGAGTTTCACGGATGGGGCTGGGAAGGTGGCTCAGTGGTAGAGCGCTTGCCTTGCATGCCTGAGGCTCTGGGTTTGATTCCTCAGCACCACATAAGCAAAAAGAAAAAAGCCGGAAGTGGTGCTGTGGCTCAAGTGGTAGAGCACTAGCCTTGAGCTGAAGAGCTGAGAGACAGCGCCCAGGCCCAGAGTTCAGGCCCCACGACTGGACCCCCCCCCAAAAAAAAAAAGTTTCACGGACTTTCCTTCCCCGGGCTAGCTGTGAACCCTGATCCTCAGATCTCAGCCTCCTGAGTAGTTAGGATTACAGGCATGAGCCACCAGTGCCCAGCAGTTCTAGCTTTTTGCTAGCTAATTGGAGATAAAAACCCACAGACTTTTCTAAAAGCCTAGGTTGGCTTCAAACCCTAATCCTCAGAGCTCAGTTTTTTGAGTAGCATGGATTATAGGACTGAACTACCAGCCTCTGGCTTTCTGTGTCTTTTTTTTTTTTTTTTTTTTTTTAATATTCAGCCAGTTACTTATACTCTTATGCAGATCCGTATTGGACCATTAGAAGCAACCTAGCCTCAACCATTTTCAGCCCACTCGAGTGTGGGATTACCTTCTTCTGGGGGCACCTCAGTTTCCTCTGGGTAGAAGCTGAGTCCTGGGCAGGTTGGTCTTTGTGTGTCTTTATGAGCCGAGGTGCTATGTTCTACCTAGAGTGATGGTGCTTGTGGCAGGATGGCTGCAGCAGTCAGTGTGGCCTATTTGGGCACTGGTGCAGAGTTAGAGATGTGGGAAGAACTCAGGGCTGTGGGAGGGTCTAGCCTGGCTCTGGGGTGCTATAACTACCACAGGGGTTCAGGTTGAAGACAATAAGAGTAAGTGAACAACAGGGAAGGTTCTGGCTTACCCCAGGAGCCACCTGCCACGTGGGTTGCAATGCATCTCTTGTCCCAGCTGGACCTTGCTGGGCGGGAGGTAATTGTCAGAGCGCCTCTGAATGTACTCTTCTTGAGTTTGTCAGGTTTTTTAATGTACTGTTAAAGCTCTTTCTTCTTTTTTTAATCAGATGGTACATACTGTGGTCTGAATTTAAAGGTAAGCTTATTTATTTATTAAGTAGTTGTACAAAGAGCTTATTCCACAAGTCAGGTTAGGAAGTACAGTGCTTCTTGCTCAGTGTCACTTGGTAAGTTTATTTTTGCAAAGAATATTCTCAATCAATAGAATGGCCACTCCTGAGGCTTGAACTCAGGGCCTGAGCGCTGTCCCTGAGCTTCTTTTGCTCAAGGCTAGCATTCTACCATTTGTGCCCCATTCCCAGCCTATGCCATATTTTTTAAGTAGTCTTGTGATTTATAGGATGGGAGAAATCTTTCCCTAAAAGTTCTTTCTTATTCAGTGTTTCATTACTTTTTTTTTTTGCAGCAGGGGCTCACTGGCCTTAACCCTTTGATCCTCCTGCCTTAGCCTCCTGAGTGCTAGGATTATAGATATGAACCGCCATGCCCAGCCTTCACTTAAATACTTGTGAAGTATGATGAGCGCATCTCTCCGACAGATGAGCTGAACAAGACCCTGTCTTTAAAAAAAAAATGAAACTCATATTTTCCAAAGTTTTAGTAACAAAAGAAATGTCTTCAAAGGTTAACAATCAATTTTACCTATAGAAGCACTGGACAGTTTTAGTAACTACTTTGCAAATATACAAATAGTCCTTATGTTTTTCATTGTGGATGGTGTGAGAACCTTTTATTAGCATCCATTAATTGTATAAGGGGGTTTCATTGTGACATTGTATCCCATCAGCATCACCCCTCCATCTCACTCACCTCAACAGGTGTCTTTTTCTTTTTGGTCGTGGGGCTTGAACTCTGGGCCTGGGCTCTGTCCCTGTGCTCTTCAGCTCAAGGCGAGTGCCCTGTCGCTTGAGCCACAGCGCCACTTCTGGTTTTCTGGTGGTTTATTGGAGATAAGAGTCTCATGGACTTTTCTGCCCAGGCTGGCTTTGAACTGTTATCCTCAGATCTCAGCCTTCTGAGTAGCTAGGATTACAGCCTTGAGCCACCAACACCCGGCAATTTCAACAGGTTTCATTGTTGTATTTTCATGCGTGAAAATCAGTTACCTTGACCACATTCATTCTCATTCGCCCTCTCTGTGAGCCCTCCCAGAATTTAAATATTAAGCATTTCTCATCAGGCAGAGTGGGAAATACCTGTAATCCCAGTACTTTGGTGGCTGAGGAAGGAAGACAGAATTTGAGACCAGCCTGGCTATATAAGACCCTGTCTTACAAAACATTTCTCAGTAGAGATAATTACCTTTTCTACTTTTTCAGCAGAAATTAGAAACTAAATATTACACCAATGCAGAACGGAAAGTTAAAAAATAATTGGTGCCTATACTGGGGCTTGAACTCAAGACCTATGGCTTTTTCCCTTTGCTTGCTTGCTTGCTTGCTTCCTTTCTTCCTTTCTTCCTTCCTTCCTTCCTTCCTTCCTTCCTTCCTTCCTTCCTTCCTTCCTTCCTTCCTTCCTTTCCTTCCTTCCTTCCTTCCTTCCTTCCTTCCTTCCTTCCTTCCTTCCTTCCTTCCTTCCTTCCTTTCTTTCTTTCTTTCTTTCTTTCTTTCTTTCTTTCTTTCTTTCTTTCTTTCTGTTATGGGGCTTGAACTCTGCGCCTGAGTGCTGTCCCTCAGCTCTTCAGCTCAAGGCAAGCACTCTAAAATATAGTGGGTTTTTTTTTTGCCAGTCCTGGGGCTTGAACTCAGGGCCTGTGCACTGTCCCTGAGCTTCTTTTGCTCAAGGCTACCACTCTACTATTTGAGCCACAGTGCCACGTCCAGCCTTTTCTGTTTTGTGGAACTGAGGAATCCAATCCAGGGCTTCATGCATGTGAGGCAAGCGCTCTCCCACTGAGCCACATTCCCAGCCATTCCCTTAGCTTTCTCACTCAAGACTGGCCCTTTACCACTGAGCTATAGCTCTATTTCTGGCTTTTTGGGGATTACTTGGAAATAAGAATCTCATGGACTTTCTTGCCTGGGCTGGCTTCACACCATGATCCGTAGATCTCAGCCTTCTGAGGATTGTAGGCATGAACCACCTGTCCTGTTCCTTCCTTGAAATTTTGGAAATGTGTTTTGCTGCAGTGGCTGGGGAGTTTTTTCCTACATTCTCCAGCTAGCAAAAGCCCTGTCGGTGCATCTCTGCCTGTTACAGCTTTGTTCCATGATGAATGTAGAAAGAGAACTGAAGTTATGTCACTCATAGGCAGCCTACATATAAGATACAGCCACTGAACACCCAGGTGAAGATGGACTTTCTCCCAGGGTAACTGCATCTGAGAACCACCAGCAAAGGATGCCCTGCTGATGGAGATGGGGTCCTAAAGCTGAGGAAAATTCACCTGAGCAGCCAGCAGAGGGCGCCCTGCAGGTGGAGATGGAGTCCTAAAGCTAAAACGGGGGGGAAAAAGTCGCCTGAGCCACCAGCAGAGGGCGCCCTGCCAGGTGGAGATGGGGGTCCTAAAGCTAGAACAGCCACTGTGCAGGGCAAGGTGCACCTGGCACCCGTTGCTCAGACTCTGCTCAGTCTCCTTCTTTTCTTTCCCAGGATGACAGAACGCCATTGTGTGACAAGCCACCCCCCTCCCCAGGTACTTGCCCTCCAGGGTCATCAGGACTGACCAACTCCATTTAGGACATGTCCCAAAATGGCCTTGATCACAAATGAAGTCCCTCTGCCTTCCTTGGGGAACGGGTAGTAGTTGTGGAACTGACCAAAGTAAAAGGGGCCACATTGGGTGGTAGGTATCCATGTGCATGGAGGTACAAAGGTCCTGGGGTCCAGGTGGACTTGGAGCTGAGAGAAAGTGAGGGCTCTGTTAAGGTGCTGATGCTTTATGGGGATCGGGGTGCCCCAGTGCCTTTCAGGGTATTTGTTGTTGTTGCTTTGTTTTGTTTTCCAGTTCTGGGGCTTGAACTCAAGGCTTGGGCACTGTCCCTGAGCTTTTGTGCTAGCACAAAAGGCTAGCCCTCTGCCACTTGAGCCACAGTACCACTTCCTGTTTTCTAGTGGTTTATTGGAGACAAGAGTCTCATGGACTTTCCCGCCTGGGCTGGCTTTGAACCTCGATCCTCAGATCTCAGCCTCCTGAGTAACTAGGATTACAGGCGTGAGCCACCGGCATGGGGCACGGCCTTTTCTATTTATGTGGTACTGAGGAACAGAATCCAGGGCTTCATGCATGCAAGGCAAGCACTCTACCACTAAGCCACCTTCCCAGCCCAGAAAAAGACTCTACTATGCAGAATGAATCTGGTGGGCTAGAAGTTTCTCTCCCTGCCAACAGCACCAAACACTGAGCTGGCATGGCAGAAATGGAGCCAAGCCTACGTGGAACAGCAATTAGGCATCTTTCTGCAAGACCAGCAGCCAAACATGCAAACCCATGTTTTTGTTTTTGCTGGTTCATTGGAGATGAGTCTCATGGATTTTTCTGGCTGGGCTTGGCTTTGAACCTTAATCCTCAGATCTCAGCTTCCTGAGTAGCTGAGATTATAGGTGTGAGCTAGGGGCGCGCAGCTTTATTACATGCTTTTGACGTAAACAGCCAACAGCCAACCTTTTAAGCTCCACCCCCCATGCTTCTCATATCCAGCTAGCCGAGTACAACAGAGATGTGTAGAAATAACCAAAGAAAAGCTTGAGGAGTTGAAAGAAGAAAATTTGCACCTGAACATGAAAAATCACAATCTCAGAGCTCATCTAAAGGCTACGAAGAAACTAGTGAAAGATTTACAATCAAAACTTCAGAAGCTGGAACATGGTGACCAAGGGCCAGAAGAGGCTGCGCAGGCTTCCGGTCAGGGCGGGGAAACCTCCCTTGCCTTGAGAGGTAAGATTTCATGTGAATGTCTGGATTTTATGTTGTCATGTTTAAGATTCATTAATATCCATCATTTCTTTTGTCTATGCTGGTTCTGGGGCTTGAACTCAGGGCCTCATGCTCTTTCTTGGCTTTTTTGCTCAAGGCTGGTGCTCTACTACTTAAGCCATTGTTATACCTACAGTTTTGTTTTGTCATTCGTGGGGCCTGAACGCTGAGCCTGGGCACTGTCCCTCAGCTCTTTGGCTCAAGGCTAGCACTCTACCACTTGAGCCACAGTGCCACTTCCAGCCTTTTCTGCTTATGTGGTGCTGAGAATCAAACCTAGGGCCTCATGCATGCAAGGCAAGCACTCTATCACCCTACCTATAGTTTGTGTGTGTGTGTGTGTGTGTGTGTGTGTGTGTGCGCACGCACACGCGTGTGCGCGCTTCATTTGAAGAGCCTTACAGACCTGGGCTGGCTTCAAACTGTGATCCTGAGGTCTTAGCTTCCCAAATAGCTGGGATTACAAGCATGAGCCTCTGCATGCAGATAGCCCTCTCTTACCAGATAGCTTTGTGACTTTGATAGCGGTTGTGTATAGATTCGCTGTGAACCTAGAAGGGAAACAAAGGCAAAGTGATAAGCATGTTATATGAATGCTGGCCAGTATTGTTCGTCACGGTGTAATCATAGCCATTTTCTTTAGTACCTGCTACATTTGAGTTGCTTTCTCTAAGAAAGCACATTGAAGAGCTGGAACATGAAAATGACCAGTTGAAAATAATCGCCCATCGTTTGAACGTGGAACTGAGTCGCTACCAAACAAAATTCAGGCATTTGTCTGAGGAAGAGGTAATGTTTCTAACTAAGGAAAAGCTCTCAGACTTCCTCCCAGCCTTTAGGGTTGAGCTGATTTCTTATTTTTTACAATTCAATATTACATTTATATATAAAATATTCAGAGCCAGGTGCTAGTGCCTTCCACCTGTAATCTTATCTGCTGAAGAAGCTGAGGTCTGAGGATCAAGATTTGAAACCAGCCTGGGTAGGAAAATCTGTGAGACTCTCATCGTCAGTGAACCACTAAAAAGCCAAAAGTGGAGCTGTGGCTCAAATGGTAGAGCACCAGCCTTGAGCAAACAAAGCAAAACTTGGACAACACCCAAGACTAGCACAAAAAAAAAAACAAATAAACCCAAAACACTTAATGTCAAAAACAGTCATTCTCAGGACCAGACCCATTTTGTTCTTTCCCCAGAAGAAAGGCAGTAAAGCCCCTTTGTCAGATACTAAAACAGAGAAATACCAGATTCAGGATGTGAAGTCGGCACTGCATGTCAGTGCTGTCCTCAGTCCAGGCTGTGACTGCAGCCATGGCCATGGGTGTCACTGTGTGGAGTTGTGCTTATAGGCATATGCACAACAGGCTGGTGCCACACAGAGCAGGGACTTGAACCCAGGAGAGGACACGGAGATGCCTGGCCTTTGCTGAGAAGGTGGGGGGAGGGGAGGGAGAGAAAGAAGTAAGGAAATCTATTGCTTGGAGTGGTGGGAGGACACAGTTTATTTTGTCTGCCATGTTTTGTTCTTAGAGTTCACACGTTGGTGCCCTCCCAGCAAATGGCCCCACGCCCCCCTGGCTGGTAAGAGATGGCTGTTGAATTGCAGGTCCGCGTTTTCTGCGTGCTGTTTATGTAATAATTGAAATCCATTCCAAAAAAAACCCTCTTTATTTTCTTGCCTTGAATAACGTTTGCTGTTGGTCAAGTGCCAGTGGCTCACACCTGCCATCCTAGCTGCTCAGGAGGCTGAGATCTGAGGATCATGGTTCAAAGCCAGCCTGGGTAGGAAAGTCTATGAGACCCTTAGCTGTAATGAACCACCAAAAGCCAGAAGAGTGGCAGAACACCAGCTTTGAACACAAAAGCTCAGGGACAGTGCCCAGGTCCTAAGTTCAAGCCCCAGGACTAGCACAGAAAAAACAGTTTTCTGCTTGGGTTTAGACTGAAGAACTCCATTAGCCGTCTTTTTTTTTTTTTTTCCTGAGAGTTGGTCCTGGGACTTGAACTCAAGGGCTTGTGCTTGTGAGACCTGCACTCTACCCCTGAGCCACTCGTCCAGCAGTGCTCCTCAGCAGTTGTTTTTAGTATAAGGCCTCGCTTTCCACCCAGGCTGGTACCTGGAACGTGAGGTGCCCACTGTTGCTAATATCACAGGTAAGGGCCGCCAAGCCCAGCATCTCTCATGGAGATGGGGGTCTGTGGACTTTTCTGCCTAGGCTGGCCTGGAACCGTGATCTTCCTGGCTCCAACTTCCCATGTGGCTCGGGATGATAGACATGTGCCCCTGCACCAGCTGTGGGTTTGAAGGAGGCCTATGGAATGCCTCTGCCTGGCTGTCCTTGAACCACCATCCTCCTGAGCTCAGCCCCTCAGGTAGCTACGTGGATGACAGTTGTGAGCCACCAGCCCCAGCTTCTGTTAACCCCCCTTTCCTCCGTGCTGTTCAGGTGGATATCAAGTACCTCTCGCCGCTGCTGCTGGCTTATGAAGACAGAATGAACGAGAAGGACCAGCTGAGCGCCACCCTCGAGGTAGGGGCCAGCCTTGCACCAGGGGCTCACACCTGTCACCTCAGCTAATCAGGAGGCTGAGATCTGAGGACCACTGTTTGAAGCCAGCCCCGGCAGGAAGTCCATGAGACTCTGATCTCCCACAAACCAGCAAAAGGCCGGAACTAGAGATGTGGTTCCAGTGGTAGAGGCAGGCAAGTCAGTCAGAGGCACAGGCCATGTGTGTTTTAGGTAAACTTAGTGCTCTAGCCCCAGGGAAGTTCACCACTTAAGCTGCTGACACCATACTTGTCCCTGCCTGCTCTCCCACGTCTTTGGACAGCTTCTGGCCATGAAGATCATTCTTTCTAACTTGGCCATTGTTGCTCAGAAGGCCTGGGATGCACAAGAGTTGTCCTGTGCCTCTGGGGACCCCATTAAGTGACCCTGACTTAAGGCCCCAGCAGTGGCACAGAAATAAATAAGTGGGAGAGGAAAGAAGAGGAAGGAAGGAAGGAAGAAAAGGAAGGAAGGAAGGAAGGGGAGGGAGGAAGAAGGGAGGGAGAGGAAGGAAGGGAAGGGAGAGGAAAGAAGGAGCAAGGAAGGAAGGGAGGGAGGGAGGGAGAGAGAGAGAGAGTGTGGGCTCTTTGCCCAGTGCTCAGTGGTGTGCAGGTGTCCTGGCTCCTCGCTGAGGGCGGGGGGCCGGACAGGACTGCAGGCAGTGCTGTGGAGTCAGCATGGGTGCCTCCCGTGTTTCAGGAGGAGATGCGGGCATTCAGGATGCGGGTGCAGCAGGTGGTGGAGGAGAATGAAGGCCTGCACCGGGTGATAAAGAGCACGGTCGTCAGTGCGGTGGAACGGCAAGTGTCAGCCCCGAGTGTCCCTTGTCCCCAGAGCACACAGGCCCCAGGATAAGCTGTACGAAATAACGTAAAAATACAGACGTGCATTTTCTTCACGTAGCTGAGGTATCTGAAGGGAGAGTAGCTCACACCTGTAATCCCAGCTTACTCAGGAGGCTGAGATCTGAGGATCACAGTTCAAAGCCAGCCTGGCAGGAAGAATCTATGAGATGCTTATTTCCTATTATCCAGCAAAAAGCTGGAAGTAGAGGTATAACTCAAGTGGTAGAGCACCAGCCTGGAGCAGAAAAGGCTCAGGGACAGTGCCAAGGCCCTGAGTTCAATGACTGACACCAAAAACAGATCAGGATTGGCCATTTTGACTTGCTTCCTAGGTCCTGTGTACATTGGGTACTCCTCCCTTCTCTCCCCATTTGTGTGTAGACATGTTTAGCGTGGGGAGTCCAATTTCAGACGTCACTGTCTCCCCTCCCCGCCCAGTCCCCCTCACATTGCACATACACGATCTTCAATGTTTGGTTGGTTGCACAGATCTGGAGATTTGCATGCCTACACACTCTGTCCCCAGCGATCTTAGTTCATTTTTACCCATCATCACAGGCAGCAGCTGCAGACACAAGCCGAGCTGGTTTTGGAGGAAAACAAGTTGCTGATAGAGCAACTGATGATCCAGGAGAACAAAGCCCAGGACATCCACCAGGAGCAGCAGCAGGAAGGTGAGCTGGGACCAAGCAAGGATGGCAGACCCTTCCCCCTCCTCCACACACAGAATGGCCGCGCACCTCATGATTGCCTGCTTTCCTGTGAGCTCTCCACATGGTGTCCACTCATTTCTCAGTGTGGAATCCAGTGGCGTAGATCTGTGGTGTGGACCATTCATTTAGCAGAACCCTAGTACCAGGAAAGCAGTTTTTATATATAAAGCCTTAACTATTCCCAAAGTATATTTTTATTAGCTGATTCCTAGTAATCAGTACTCTTTTTTTTTTTTCCCCCAGTCGTGGGGTCTGAACTCTGGGCCTGGGCGCTGTCCCTCAGCTCTTCAGCTCAAGGCTAGCGCTCTACCACTTGAGCCACAGCACCACTTCCAGCTTTTTGCTTATGTGGTGCTGAGGAATCGAACCCAGGACCTCAGGCATGCAAGGCAAGCGCTCTACCACTGAGCCAACTTCCCAGCCTAGTAATCAGTACTCTTGAGGGGTTTTGGCTGATTGGCTGGTTTTGATTTTTGGAAACAGGTTCTCCTTATGTAGCCCAGATTAGCCTGGAACTCTCTTGATCCTCCTGCTTCAGCCTATTAAGTGCCTGGATTGCAGGCAAGTCCACAACACTCGGCTAATACATTTTCTTGTCTTTTCTCCTGCCATGTCTTTATCTTTCTCTTGCTTTTCAGTGTCTAAGCTGACTAAACAACTCATGCTGCTGGAGATGAAGTCTCAAAGCCAGGAGAAGGAGCTGACAGAACGCAAGGAGCAGCTGGAGGCATTGCAGGCTACCTGCCAAGAGCTCAAAACAGACCTGGACAGCAAGATTGCCATGGACCTGCATACCTCCATCGTAAACGAATTACAGAGGTAAGGAGGTAGAGTCTCCGGTGAGTGGAAAGGAGTTTCCCCTGTATGTTTGTAAAGGCAGAGTGGACAGGGGTCGCTCAGTCCTGCCGTGTATATCCAATAGTTTCTAGGTTTCTACCCCTGATGATTTTTTTTAACCTACAAGCCAGGTATGTGAGAGTAAGAATAACTGCTATTTTATTTTATTTATTTACTCGTTTATTTTGTGCTGGTCTTGAACTTGAACTCAGGGCCTGGACAGTGTCCCTGAGCTTTTTTTTTTTTTACTCAAGATTAATGCTCTACCACTTGAGCCACAGCTCCACTTTGGCTTTTTTGGCAGTTCTTTGGAGATAAGAGTCTTATGGACTTTTCTGCCCAGCCTGGCTTCAAACCACAATCCTCAGAACTCAGCCTCCTGAGTAGCTAGGATGACAGGCAACGGTGCTCAGCTAATTATGCCTGCATGTTTCTTTGTCCTCCAGCCAGCTGCAGAAGGAGGAAGAGAAGGAGCGGGCGGAGCTGGAGGAGCTGATGGAAAAGCTGACGGTCCTGCAGGTGCAGAACAAGAGTCTGTTGTTAGAAAAGAAGAGCTGGGCCTCTAGGAACAAAGCACTTCAGGCCAACCTGGAGCAGGCGCAGAAGAAAAACAGGTTCTCTCCAGATGTGCTTTCTCCTGAGCTCTTCCATTTCTCAATATTTAAAGAAAAAAACCAAGCATGAAGTATCTCCCATTGTATTTCTTTTCTCACTCATTTTTCTGATCGAATGGAAAAGGGTCGCCAAGATGAGTGGGAACCAAAATATTAAATACAGCCAGGCACTGGTGGCTCATGTCTGTAATCTTTTTTTCTTTCTTTCTTTTTTTTGCCAGTCCTGGGGCTTGAACACAGAGCCTGGGCACTGTCCTTGAGCTTCTTTTGTTCAAGGCTAGCACTCTACCACTTGAGCCACAGCACCATTTCCAGCTTTTTCTGTGTGTGTGGTACTGAGGAATCAAAGCCAGGGCTTCATGCATGCTAGGCAAGTACTCTACCACTAAGCCACATTCCCAGCCCTCATGCCTGTAATCTAAACTCATCAAGAGGCTTGAGGTGTGAGAATCTCAGTTCTAAGCCAGCCTGGGCAGACAAATCTTCAGTTAGCCAGCAAAAAACCTGGAACTGGAAGCATGGCTCAAGTGGTAGAGCTTCAGCCGTCACTGAAAAAAGCCAAGGGAGATGATGAGGTCCTGAGTTCCGATCTGTACTTCATATATGGCTGCATGTCACACCATGGGCCTGAGACTCAGGGACCTTTACAAGCTTACTGTGTCCCCCAAGTGTACTTTGGACTCCCTTTTTGCACAAATATCCTTCAGAATGTCAGCCAAAAGAATCAATAGAATAATACTAACCTGTCAACTGGCAGGCTTATTGCAAATCCTATTAATTTGTTGGGACTCAATAATTATGAGTCCCAGCAAATTAATTTCCTTCTGTTTACCTTGAAACATAATAGACTTAAGTTGCCGAGCAGAGCAGTTTTTTAAATTTTTTTATGTGTTTGTTTTGTTCAACTACAAACAGAGGACCTCATGATGCTAGACAAGATCTCACTCTGAGCTACTCAGCCTCAAAAAGAATATTTGCTTGTGCCATACTGGGGCTTGAACTCAGGACCTCACACACGCCTGCTTAGGTTTTCCTCGCTCAAGGCTGCCACTCTACTACCTGAGACACACCTTCACTTCCAGCTTTTTGGTGGTTAAGTAAAGAGTCTCACAGACTTTCCTCCCTAGATCCTCAGATCTCAGCCTCTGGAGTAGCTAAGATTACAGGCATGAGCTACAGGCTCCCAGCTAAGAGGTGCATTTAAATGTGAGCATGCTTGCTGTTTTGTAATGCAGCACTTCCCTGAGCCCTGGCTGTGCACACTGACCAGTTTGTGTTTCCCCATTTGAAACCATTTAGAAAATACCAGAAGAAAATTGACTCTCTCAAAAAGCATGCAGAAAAAGCCTTGAAGAACGAACTCTGTGCTCATAACTACCTGGCCAACCTCATTACTTTGACAGAGAATCTAGCCCAGGAACGAGATGGCCTCAAACATTTGGTAAGTTTCCTCAATGTGACCTTACATTAACAGCAAAGTAAAATGGAAATAGGATTTTTTGTTTTGTTTTGTGCCAGTCTTAATGCTTGAACTCAGAGCCTGGGTGCTTTCCTTGAGCTTTTTGGTGGCTCATTGGACATGAGTTCCTGCCTGGGCTGGCTTTGAACTGAGATCCTCAGATCTCAGCCTCCTGAGTAGCTAGGATTACAGGCATGAGCCACCGGCGCCCGGCTTCAAAACATTTTTAAAAGTCAAACAACCCACACTTTACAGTAAAGTCAGAGATTATTTTAGAAGGTAAACTGAGGGATCTAAGTAGAAATAGTGGCCCTTGTGTGTTTATAATCCCACAGACATAGCATTATGTCATCTCCATAAAGCTGTCTAATCTTTTCCTTATTTGAAGACGAAACAGAATTGAAGCCTGGTATCTGTGCTCATACCTGTTATCGTAGCTACTCAGGAGACTGAGATCTGAGGATCTCGATTTGAAGCTAGCCTGGCAGGAGAGTGGCTCATCTCCAAAAAGCCAGAAGTGGAGCTGTGACTCAAGTGGTAGAGTAGTAGGCTTGAATAAGAAAGCAAAGCAAGAGCACACAAGGTCCTGAGTTCAAACGCCCCAGTAATGGAGCCTCGTGCGTATAATAGAACCCTGTGTATTTGTGCACACACACACACACGCACGCACGCACGCACGCACGCACGCACACACACACACACACACACACACACACACACACACACACACCCATAGACCACTGAAGTAGAATTTATCCCGCGAGCATAGCGGAAAGCTGCATGGGGACATTATTCCCATAGAGGGATATTAAGTCAATTATTGATATCCTAGATGATGGAGCCCAGCCAGCAGGAGCAGTGAGCAGGCACGATCAGGGCCTTTCCACTTTGATTGCGAGCGATCATACAGCGACAGAAGACAGACACTGTGTTGAGAAAGATCTGGTAGGATTTACCCCAGACAGTTAAAGAATGTGTCCTCTCCACGGAGGGGACCTTGATTCAGGTGATGTGTCCAGGTCTCCTCCGCGTCTTCCTTTCTCTACATGAAGCACGCACCTAATTCTCCCAAGCCTCCAGTGAGCTCAGGCCGGCTCAGTCAGAGGTCAGAGGTCATGTGTTAATGAATGTCACATGCAAAGGAAGCAGTGGACCTTTTGAGCAAGGGAGAAAGCAAGGAGCCTGAAGATCTGTGTCCTTTCTCCAGAGCTGGGGGCTGTGGGGAGGGTGGTCAGGTTGCAAAGGTGCTGTTTTATTTCTTAGAGAGATGTTAAAGTCTTCTAGAACAACATGGGCATAAGAGGCAGGATGTTCCTGGGGGGGAAAGTTCACCTTTATTTTTAATAAAAGAAATTGTTAATTCAACTTACATTGAGGCCCTCCTGTACTTAATTTTTGAAACCTTGTTTCATCATCACAACAGCGGCTGGCAGTTTTGTGGCAGACCTGCCTATACGTACCTAAGTTCTAAGATTGCTAAGTTCTTCCTGACTCTTTGAGAAAGAAATTTGAGCCAGGTTCTGGGGGGTTCACCCCTGTAAATCCTATCTACTGAGGAGGCTGAGATATGAGGATAGCAGTTCAGGAAAGTCAGACGCTTATCTCCAATTAACCAGCAAAAATGTGAGAAATGGAACTGTGGTTCAAGTGGTAGAGTGCTAGCCTTGAGCAAAGGAAGCTCAGCAACAGAGCCCAGGCCCTGAGTTCAGGGCCCAGCACTGGCAAGACAATAAACATGTGTTGTCTGAGGCTGGGGGCCTGCCTGCCTGGCCAGCAGGAGATGGTGAGTTCAAATTTCAGTAGTGCCGAGGAAGACGGTAAACTGTCTTTTCTGCTCCTGTCTTTTTCTTTGTGTGTGCCAGTTGTGGGCGCTGTCTCTTACTTTTTCACACAAGGCTGGTGGTGTGCCACTTGTGCCACAGCTCCATTTCTAGCTTTTTGTTGGTTCATTGGAGATTTATCTCCCAGACTTTTCTACCAGAGCAGGATTTGAACCATGATCATATCTCAGCTTCCTGAGTAGCTGGGATTACAGGTGTGCATCACCAGTGCCAGGCATGTGGGTCATATATTATTTATTCATCCATTCATTGATTCATTCATTTACTGCCAGTTCTGGGGCCTGAAGTCAGGGCCTGGGCACTGTCCCTGAGCTTCTTTTGCTAAAGGATAGCCTTCTACCACTTGAGCCATAGCACTACTTCTGATATTTTCTGCTTATATGGTACTGAGGAATTGAACCCAGGGCTTCCTGCATGCTAGGCACTCTAACACTGAGCCATATTCCCAGCCCCATTATTATTTTCTTTCTTTCTTTTTTTGCCAAGTCCATGCGCCCCCAGAGGTTACCAGGGAGGGAATTCTCACTGTTAACTTTTGTCTCTAATTTTAGCAATGGCAATGGTTAATAGCGCCTGTGGTCCATGCCAACTGGACCACAGCATAAAATCTCCACTTCCATTGATGCCCTGTTGGATAAACCAACATGTCTGCTCCAGTCTGGAGAAGAGCTTTGCGTACGGTGTTACCATCCTTTATTCTGTCAGAATGGATCACAGTGGCCAAGTTACAAACAGATTTCACTTGAGCACTGATTACCTTAGCTGTAATGGAAGCAATTGCATAAGCTACAAGGAAAGAAAAGGTTCTGGCAGCTCTTCCTACCCTCAGCCTGTCTTTGGGGGCTGATCCATACATGGCCCGCCCTCACCCAGGGATGACAGAAGTTAGCTGAGTGTGTGTGTGGGGGGGGAGGAGGCGGGGGGGGGGGGAGGGTGTGTGGGGTAGGAGGGGAAGGGAGGAATGTGGAGGGGAATAGGATGAGGCCAGGTGAACAATCCACAAAAGAAATTTTTGTTGTTGGTCATGGGGCTTGAACTCAAGGCCTGGGTGCTGTCCCTTAGCACTTTTTGCTCAAGTCTAGCACTCTACCACTTTTTTTTTTGTCAGTTGTGGAGCTTGAACTCTGGGCTTGGGCGCTGTCCTTGCGCTCTTCAGCTCAAGGTGAATGCTCTACTGCTTGAGCCACAGTGCCACTTCCGTTTTTCTGGTGGTTTACTGGAGATAAGAGTCTCACAGAGTTTCCTGCCCGGGCTGGCTTTGAACCGAGATCCTCAGATCTCAGCCTCCAGAGTAGCTAGGATTACAGGTGTGAGTCACCGGTGCCCGGCTTAGCACTCTACCACTTTGAGCTAATAGTGCCACTTCCGGTTTTTCCCGAGTTGCTAGTATTACAGGTGTGAGTCACCAGTGTTCAGCAGAATTTTTTTAATGTATGCTTATGGGACCTTGAACCCAAAGCATTAGATTTCCTAGGCAAACTCTCTGCCACTTAAGATACATTCCCCAGCCGGGCGCTGGTGGCTCACACCTGTCATCCTAGCTATTCAGGAGGCTGAGATCTGAGGATTGCAGTTCAAAGGCAGCCGGGGCAGGAAAGTCCATGAGACTCTTTCTTTTTCTTTTTTTTTTTTTGTCGGTCGTGGGGCTTGAACTCTGGGCCTGAGCGCTGTCGCTCAGCTCTTCAGCTCAAGGCGAGCGCTCTACCACTTGAGCTACAGCGCCACTTAGTCCGTGAGACTCTTATCTCCAATTAACCACCAGAAAACTGGAAGTGGTGCTGTGGCTTAAGTGGTAGGGCGCTAGCCTTGAGCAGATGAGCTTAGAGACAGCGCCCAGACCCAGAGTTCAAGCCCCATGACTAAAACAAAAAATTCCCCAGCCCAAAGTGGCTCAGTGGTAGAGCGCTTGCCTTGCATGCATGAGGCCCTGGGTTCGATTCCCCAGCATCACATAAGCAAAAAGAAAAAAAGCCGGAAGTGGCGCTGTGGTTCAAGTGGTAGAGCACTAGCCTTGAGCTGAAGAGCTGAGGGACAGCGCCCAGGCCCAGAGTTCAGGCCCCACAACCGGACCCAAAAGAAACCCCCCCCCCCCAAAAAAAAAATTTCCCCAGCCCAAGAATTTAAAAAAAATCATTTTCTATAAGTGGACAGCTCATTGATTTTGATTTCTACCATTCTTCTTAAGGCTAAATGTCTAGAAAGCGAGAAACATGGAACTTTGAACACAATTGTGAAGAGCAATATCCGCTTGGGGAAGTTGGAGGAGAAAGTCAAAGTAAGTGTCCTGGTCACCTGGGAGATCCACCTTCCCATAGGAAAAGGGGCTTTTCACATGGGCGGTGTGACTGGGCATGGGGGTGCACGCCTGTAATCCCAGTGACATGGGAGGCTTGAGAATGGGAGGATTGTGAGTGGAGGCCTGTCCGTAGGAAAACTTACCAGACCATTCTTCCACTTGTAATTAGGTATGGTCACACATACTTGTCATTCCAGCTACAGTGGGAAGCAAAATTAAAATAAAAAAAAAATTACATCCCCGCCCTGCTTCTGCAAAGAGGAGGTAATTCCTAACTCAGAGTAACCACTGCAGAAAAGAGATGGAGGTGTGGGAAGGAGGAAAGAAGAAGGGACGGAGAAACATTTAGCACCCCCCCCCCCCAAAAAAAAAAAGCAATGGCAGATTTTACTGACAGAAATAGCTCTTGCTACTCAGGAGGCTGATATTAGAGGATCTCAGTTTAGAGCCAACCTAGCCAGCCTCAGTTTGAAGACAAAACAGTGAGACTTTATTGTGTGTGTTGGTCCTGGGGCATGAACTCAGAACCTGAGCAGTGTCCCTGAGCTTTGTCATTGAAGGCTAGCGCTCTACCACTTGAACATCCATTAATGGCTTTTTTTTTTTTTTTGGTGGTTAGTTGGAGATGAGACTCATGGATTTTTCCTGCCCAGGCTGGCTTTGAACTTTAGTCCTCAGCTCTCAGCCTTCTGAGTAGCTAGGATTACAGGCATGTGCCACTGGTGCCTGCCCAGTGAGACTCTTATCTCCAATGGGCCAACAAAAGTCCAGAAGCAGAACTATAGCTCAAGTGGTAGACTATCAGCCAGCCAAGGAAGAAGTTGAGGTCCAGAGTTCAATCCCCAATACCTGCACCAAAAAAAAAAAAAGACTTATCAATTGATTAAAAAGCTATTTTTCTTCCACACAATAATATATCATACAATTGTTTTTAAGAAAAAGAAAAGACTGGACATGGTGGCTTATTCCTGTAATCCTAGCCTGGGAAAAGTTAGCAAAAATCTCTTAAAAACAAAATACAGCCGGCGCCAGTGGCTCATGCCTGTAATCCTAGCTATTCAGGAGGCTGAGATTTGAGGCTCGTGGTTCAAAGCTACGGACAAGAACATCTGTGGGACTCTTAACTCTAATTAACCACCAGAAAACCAGAAGTGGCTCTGTGGCTCAAGTGGTAGAGCGCTATCCTTGAGCTGAAGAGCTCAGGGACAGCACCCAGACCCAGAGTTCAAGCCCCATGACTGACCAAAAAAACCCCAAAATACAGGGAAGTGATGTGTGGCTCAAGTAGTAGAACACTAGCCCTGAGCACAAGGAGGTACCCGGAACAGCACCGAGACCCTGAGTTCAGGCCCCTCAACCAACAAAACAAAAGAAAAAAAATATGAAAAACTTAATACAGGGGCTGGGATATAGTTCAGTGACAAAGCTACTTTGCCTAGCAAGTGCAGCATCCTGGTCTCAATCCCTAGTAGTAAAAAAACAAAAGACAAAACAAAAGCTGTTAAAAACAAAAACAAAATACAGGCCTGGTGCTGGTGGCTCACGCCTGTCATCCTAGCTGCTCAGGAGGCTGAGAGGATCACAGTTCAAAACCAGTCTGCTGCTGTCTGCAACCTGGGACAGCACAAGAGGATACCAGAGCCAAAGAAAGAACAGACCAAGAGAGAGTCAAGCAAGCGGGGACCTGGGGGTGGGGGGGTGGAGGTCATGCTTTTGAACCCCGAGCTCCCTCAAGCAAGCCTACTTACCTAGTCCAGGCCAGGGAAGATAACAGAGCAAGGCAGCAGCTTCCCGTGGCTGCAGCTGTTGACATGAGGCACTCGGTGTTTGCTGTCATAACTGCCTCCCTCATTGAAATCCGGAGCTGTAACTTACACACCTGTCTACACCATTGTCTCAAGCATCACGGGGTCCAGTCAGCTGCGAACTTAAATGCCATAGGCTCACATTGCAGATAATCCAGAATTACTTCTAGTTGATTGATTTCCTGGCCATACAGTTAAGAGGCACTGTATCTAATCACTATCTAATATATCACTAATTTCAAATGCAAATTTTAAAATGGTTTGTTTTTGACAGAAATAGAAAAGATGAAAAGGAACCTGACAGGTATAGAAAACTATTTTTTAAGTATATATAGAATGCATATCACAAAGTCTGGAATTCTAATATTCTGTATTGTATCTTGGTTTTATGTCTCTAAGCTTTGAAAATATGTTATTTATAAGCAATGAAAGGTTCTTAAAAATCACCAGAGACTTGAAAATACTTAATACTGCGAAGGAAATCCAGAAGGGTTTGACTTCTGTTCTTGCTTCTTTAGATGGTATCATTATAACATAAGCAAAATCATGCTTGTATAACAAAAAAAACCTGTTGTATAACCAAAATGCTCAATTGTGTTCATAAAGAAAATTTGTATTAAAAAAAAATACCATAGGCTCAGTTCATTGTAATGTAGACATGTATCTTGTGTGTGTGTGTGTGTGTGTGTGTGTGTGTGTGTGTGTGTGTGTGTGTTTGTGTGTGTGTGTGTGTGTGTGTGTGTCGGTCCTGGGGCTTGAACTCTGGGCGCTGTCCTTCAGCTCTTCTGGCCAGCACCCTACCACTTGAGCCACAGCGCCACTTCTGGCTTTTTTCTGCTTATGTAGTGCTGAGGAATTGAACCCAGGGCCTCATGCATACAAGGCAAGCACTCTACCACTGAGCCACCTTCCCAGCCCCCACTCCCCCCCCCCCCCACTGTCCCTGCTTTTTTTTTTTTTTTACTGGACCTGGGGCTTGAACTCAGGGGCTGGCATGGTCCCTGATCTGCTTTTGCTCAAGGCTAACACTACCACTTGAGCCACAGCACCACTTCCAGCTTTTTCTGTGTATATGGTACTGAGGAATGGAACCCAGGGCCTCGTGCATTCTATAGGCAAGCGTTCTACCACTGAGCCACATCGCCAGCCCTAGACATGTATCTTACCTTGTCTGTTTCCACCTTTCCAGGGTCCAGTTCTCAGCCTGCTGAGTGCTGACCAGGCTCCATTCCAACCTCGTAACCCATTCTGTTCTTACACTTGGCAGGACAGTCTGCAACACTCTTATCTCCAAGGAACCGCCTGAAAACCAGAAGTGGCACTGTGGCTTCAAGTGGTAGAGGGCTAGCCTTGAGCTGAAGAGCTCAGCGCAGCACCCAGGCCCTGAGTTCAAATCCCATGACCACCATTGGGAAAAAAATACAACTTGCTCAGGTTTCTGGAGGCCTTGGGTTCAGTTCCTAATACTGCAAAATAGAGTGGTTTTACCTGGGAAAAAATACATATGTGATATATATATATATTATATATATATATATGTATTTGTGATAAACACATACATGTGTACACATGTACGTAGGCATATATACACACAAACATGCATGCACACACATACTAAGAATTGAATTCAGGTAGACAGGGCCTTGCACTTGCTAGACATGTGCTCTGCCACTTGAGCCACGCCTCCTGACTTTGTTGGTCACTGGAGATGGAGTTGACGCTCTGGCTTCAAACCACAATCCTCCATATCTCAGCCTCCTTAGTAGTCAGGATGACAGGCGTGAGCCCCCAGCACCCGGCTCCTAAGATCCAAATTTGCCCTCCCTGTGCCAATCTTAACGATGTGAGGCCCTGCCAGGCCAGGGGCAAGCAGGAACATGGCAGAGGCTGCACTCCCTGCTCACAGAGCCCCCCTTCCTCCCCAGGGCTACAAGAAGCAGGCAGCCCTGCGGCTGGAGGACATCAGCCACCTGCTGACCCAGCAGGAGGAGGACTTCGCAGGCAAGGCAGCCCGGTACCAGCAGGAGCTGGGATATCTGCAGCAGATGTTACAGGACAAGCAAGAGGTGCTGGACCAGGCGCTGCAGCAGAAGAGGTGGGTCACAGCACAGGATCCACACCACACCCAGTGTGTCTTCCCACTTTCTCCTCTTCTAATTCAGACTGCCTGGCTTTGATTGGTTCTAAAACAAAAAAAGCATCAGTGATTCACGTGTCTAAACTCCTTTTGTTGGTCTTCCCTGGGCCTTCAGTCCTTCCCATAAGAAGTATTCCCATGAAACCTAATCAAGGGGCTGGGTATTGGTGCTCCCACTGTAATCCAGGCTACTCAGGAGATTGAGATTTACAGTTCAAAGTGTAGAATCTTGTCTGTCGAAGTGGTTGTTTGACATATGCACTACTATTGTATGTGTGTGTGTGTGTGTGTGTGTGTGTGTGTGTGTGTGTGTGAGCCCAGGCACACCGAACCCAGGGCTTTTGAACTCAGGGCCTGGGCTTTGTCCCCAAGCATCTTTTGGTCAAGGATAGAGCTCTACCACTTGAGCCACAGCTCTGCTTTAATCGCCTTTTGAATAGTTTAGTGGAGATAAGTGTTTCACAGACTTTCCTGCCCAGGCTGGTTTTGAACCATGATCCTCAGATCTCAACCTCCTGAGTAGCTGGGATGACAGGCGTGAGCCACCAGCAGCCCACAACAAGAGCTATTTTTAGATAAACCATATGCTGTTAGGAGAGTTGTTTTTCCCAGGGCTGACAGTGTGGCTCAAGTGGTGGAATGCCAGCTGAGTAGGAATTGTTTTTCTGACAAGTTCCTACTTTGGCCAGATATCCTGGTTCTGGTTGTATAAACTTTTAACCCATTTCAAAGGGGCCGGTCACACAAGATTGAACCAATCAGAATAAAGGGCAGTACTGCCTTCTAGAGGTAAAACCTGGGCAGACTGCCCATCCAACGCACGTGCTTGCTTGTTTTCTTGTCAGTAGCATGTCCTTCTGCAGATGTAAGCTTGGCCTTTTGAGTTAGAGCCCTTATTCCTATATGACACCTCAGTATCCTGAGACCTTTCCAGCTGCCTCGGGCCCAGGCAGACCAATCCAAGAGACTCTCTACCTCCAGCTAACCAGCAAAAAGCCAGAAGTGGAGCCCCGTTGTCCACAGCCCTTTCTGGCTATGAGTTGTTTTTCAAGTAGAGTCTCACTGCGGCCAGCTTCAGATCCCACCCCTCCCAACTGTGCCTCCCCAGTAGCTAGGATGGTAGATCCATACTGACCTGTATGTGGAGCTGGGGTTCTCACCTTTTTGGCACAGGAGGACCTCAGACCACGATCCTCCCAACCTCCACCTCCTGGGTTGCCAGGGTTATGGGTGTGAGCCACCGCACCCTGTCCGTATTTCTCATAAATGGTGCTATTTTTAACTTGCCCTTGATTTTGTGTTTATCTTATTAAAGGGACATGGAAGGTGAACTTGAAATCGTGTGGGAATCCACGTTCAAAGAAAACCGCAGGATGCGTGAACTCCTCCAGGAAAGGGCAGGTGTGCGGGCCTCCCCCGGAGCTGGCCGGGGCCCCTGCCTGGACCCAGGCCTGCTGGACTGCTCCAGTTTCAGCTACTGTGATGTGCAGCTTCCCGTCCCTGCCACCCACCACAGCATGTGGGAGCCCGTGGGCTAGGCCAAGACCAGAGCACAATCAGAAGCCACCGAGAGCTGCAGGCCAGTAGAAATAAACTATCTCAGACATGGAATTGTTCTTTTTGTGTGTGTGCCTATCCTGGAGCTTGAACTCAGGGCCTGGGCTCTGTCCCTTAGCGTGTTCTCCTCAAAGCTGATGCTCTTACCACTCAAGCTACTACTCCTGTTTTTTGTTTTTTACTGGTTCATTGGAGATAAGAGTTTCATGGACTTTATTGCCCCGGCTGGCTTTAAATCGTGATCCTCCTATCTCAGCCTCCTGAGTAGCTAGGATTACAGGCGTGAGCCGCCAGCCACCCTTGAAGGTTTTGTTTGTTTTTGTGTGGGTGCCTGTTCTGGGATTTGAACTCAGAGCCTGGGCACTGTCCCTTAGAATTTTCCCTGAAGACTGGTTACTCTACCACTTGAGACCACGGCTCCAGTTTTTGATGGTTCATTGGAGACAAGAATATCACAGACTTTCCTGCCCCGGCTGGCTTTGAACTGCAGTCCTCAGATCTCAGCCTCCTGAATAACTAGGATTACAGATGTGAGCCACTGATGCCAGCCACCTGTGAGTTTTTGAAACAGGGTCAAGGCCAGGCTGCCCTTGACCTTGCAACCCTTCTGCCTTCGTTGCCTGAGATGAAGGATTATGGCAAACTCCAGGACGGCCAGGCTGCCTGCATCCAGAAAGCTGCCTGCCCTGCCGTGCTGTGCCCCTTCACCCACCCCTGTGAGACGCCGTGCTGGCCCCTGCCTTCACAATTCGGGCTCCCTTTGGGCCTCAGTTGCCCCGTGGGACATGTGGTCACGGAGCAGATGACAACTCTGATGTCCCTCTCCATTCTGTAGTCCAGTGAACTTGGTCCTGGAGTTTTATTGTTTATTTCTAGATTTTGTTGGTTCTGGGGCTTGAATTCAGAACCTGGGCATTGTCCTTGAGCTTTGTTGCTCAAGGCTAGTGCTCTACCTCTCAAGCCACAGTGCCACTTTTGACTTTTTTGGTGTTAATCAGAGATAAGAATTTCAGGGATTTTCCTGCTTGAGCTGGCTTCAAACTGTGATCCTCAGATCTCAGACTCCTAGTAGTGGGGATGATAGATCTGAACCACCAGCACTGGACTGGGTCCTTGATCTTTAAAAGACCCCATGAGTGAACAAGGCTGCAGGTGCTGATGCGTGGGTCATGCCCGGGCCTGGGTGCTTCAGTGCCGCTCCTGCATTTCGGTTTATTTGTTTTTTGGGTCCGGTTGTGGGGCCTGAACTCTGGGCCTGGGCGCTGTCCCTCAGCTCTTCAGCTTAAGGCTAGCGCTCTACCACTTAAGCAAAAAGAAAAAGCCAAAGTGGTGCTGTGGCTCAAGTGGTGCTGAGGAATCGAACCCAGGGCCTCAGGCATGCAAGGCAAGCGCTCTACCACTGAGCCACCTTCCCAGCCCCGACGCTCCAGCATTTTGGGAGTAGAGGCTCCCCTTCCCCTACCTGCTCCAACAACCAGAATTTTTTTGTATGTGCATGCCAGAGGACTTGAACTCAGGACCTGGGCACTCTTCCTGAGGGTTTTTTCACTCTAGGCTGGTGCTCTACCACATGGGCCACACCACCACTTCCCGCTTTCTGGTGGAGATAAGAGTGTCATGAACTTTCCCACACTGGCTGGCTTTGAACCTCACTTCTCACATGTCAGCCTCCTAAGTTGCTAGGATGACAGGCATGAGCCACCAGCACTGGACAACACTAGAATTTTGGAAAGAATGGCTTACCTGGGGAAGAAAACTACATTACGTAAACACGTTACCTTTGGAGCTGGCTTGACTTAACAATATAGTTTATTAAAGTAGTAAAATTCCTGGTTCCAAAGTTTATCTCTTAATCCCCCAAGAGAAAAACAAGTAATATTTTTTTCTTTGCCAGTATAAATCTTACCTCTTGGAAGATCTCCTTCTCTCTCTCTCTCTCTCTCTCTCTCTCTCTCTCTCAGACACACACACACGATGTATCTTTTATTTTTTTTTAGACCCAAATAAAATATTTCTTGGCAAGAGTCCTACTTTCCTGGCTTCTTCAGGGATGTGGAGAATGTATGTTTCACTTGCTTAAAGCAAGACGTGTTTAATAATTACCCTCCACGAACTCTGTACCTGCTGGCTTCCTTCACTCCTGGGCACAAGGCATTGCCCTCTCCTGGGGGTGCAGATGCCAAGGCTCAGCTCTTCAGCCATCACAGAGTCAAGGGAGAAAGGTAAGGCTGGGCTTGGGGGGGTGGGGTGAGGAGGGGAAGCGGGTGATGCTCCCTGCACTCCTGACCTGGGACATTCCTTAGAGATGGGGCTCTGCCTTAAATTGCTTTCCATGGCAACTTTTTCCTCCCCTTTCCTTGACCCACTCAAAAGAAAAAAAGCTGTCTCACTCCGTAGATGTATGTGTGAGGGGTACCTTAGACTTTGGGAGGAATGAAAGAAAAATCCATTCCTGATTTTAGGTTTAATTCTGTATATTCCAGGATGCTTTTACGTAGTTTTAGTTGATTGGGTTCTGGCGTGTTTGGGCTTTTGTTTTTTTTTGTTTGTTTGTTTTGTTCCTGTGGGTTTTTTTGTTTTTGTTTTGGTGATTACACTGGGACTTGAACTCATGGCCTGAGATCTGTCCATTTTACTCAAGGCTGGTGCTCTACCACAGCTCTCCTTCTGGCATTTGCTGGTTAACTGAAGATCAGAAGCTCACAGACTTTCATGCCTGGGCTGGCGTTGAACCCTGATTCTGAGATCTTAGCCTCCCGTGTAGCTAAGATTACAGGAGTGAGCCATCAGCGTCTGATTTAGAGTTGAACTCTCGATCCTCTTGCCTCAGCCTCCCAAATGCTGGGATTGTAGGTGTGTACCACCTTACTCAGCTAAAATACTTTTTTTTTTAACCTTTTGAAAGCAATCTGGGCCATGGAGCTAGGATGAGTCACCGTTGAAGATTGCAAACCCCAGACTTCAGGAAGCTGAGGGCCCAATGGGAAGGGCGCTGCATGAGCACCTGAACTCTGCAAAGACCAGACAGGCTTTCCCATGGCCGTGAATAATCTTGCTGACAGGATTTTATCCTGCAGCTGAGCAAAGTACACCTGCAAGTCTGACCTCAAGCAAGTGTTGCTCTCAAACAAGAGCTTTTGGCAGCAGCCTGCCACCCCGGTGCCCCAGCCCTGGGCATCCCGTCGGCTTTCACTGAATTCAGATTTAGCCCATGCCCTTCTTGCAGCCTCCTGGAAGCAGAGGGAGGACGTGATGGGGGAGGCCAGCCTTCGGAAACGGACCAAGGAGGAGGAGTCAGTCCAGAACAATGGACCCAAGACTACGAATCTCCAGAAAGAGGTAATTGGGGGTCCAGGGGTGGGGGAGGTGCTGCGCAGTACCCCGCAAAGTCCCCACTAAACCCTAGTGACCAAAAAATGGACAAAGCACATGATATTTGGGGGTTTGTCCCCCCGCTTTTTTATGGTTGTACTGTGGCTTGAACTCAGGGCCTAGGTGTTGTCTCTGAGCTTCTTCTGCTCAAAGCCGGAGCTCTACCACTTGAATCACAGCTCCATTTCTGGGTTTTTGGTGGCTGATTGGATGTGAGACTGTCTGGGCTGGCTTTGAACTATAATCATCAGATCTCAGCCTCGTGAGCAGCTAAGATTATAGGAGTGGACCGCAAGTGGTGGTAGTCACTGGCTCTTGGAACTTGTCTCCTTCCCTTCCTTCTCCCTTCTTTCTTTTTTCCTTTCTTTATTCATTTCCCTCCCCGCCCCCACCTTCCATCTTTCTCTCTCATTCTTTCTTTCCTTTTGCAGTACTCAGGCCTGGCACACATTGGACAAGCACTCTACCACTCTAGAAACAGCTCTCCCCCTTTTTTGTACCAGGACCTGACTACTGTCCCTTAACTTTTGTGCTCAAGGCTGGTGCTCTACCACTTGAGCCACAGCTCCACTTCCAGCTCTTTAGTGGTTAACTGGAGTTAAGATTTTCCTGGACTTTCCTGCCCAGGCTGGTTTCAAACCTCGATCCTCAGATCTCAGCCTCCTGAGTAGCTAGGATGATGTGTGAGCTACTGATGCCTGGCTTTTTATTTTTTATCCAAGCAACTTTGCCCAGGGTGGCCTAAAAATTCACTGTGTAGCCCAGGTTGTCCTGGAACTCACAATCCTCCGGCCCTGCCTCCCTTTGCTGGAATTACAGGCATGCGCCACCCTCCTCAGCAGTGATTTTTTTTTCTCTGACTTGAAGTTCATGCACACACACACAAGGTCCACTTGTGTGTTTCCCTGCTAGCATCGCAGGCATAGCTGCCTGGACTTGTTGGATCCGTTGACTAAATAACATTGAAGTTTCAGGAATGATGCCAGGAAGGACAAGTCAGGGACGGGAGGCCCTCAGAGGGCCACTGGACACACTGCCAGAGGCGGGTGCCAGGCCCTGTGAGCACCTTCCTTCTCCCGCACCTAGGTGGGCCTGCTCAGCGGTGTCTGCATCATCGTGGGCACCATCATCGGCTCCGGAATCTTCATCTCCCCCAAATCTGTGCTCAGCAACACGGAGGCCGTGGGGCCCTGCCTGGTCATATGGGCTGCCTGCGGGGTCCTGGCAACACTAGGTACTGAGACCCCTGCCCCGAGGCATGGCAACACCCTCTGTCCCATGCGGGAATAAGGCAGGCGCCAGGGGTGCACACCTGTAATCCCAGCTACTCAGGAGGCTGAGTTCTGAGGATCCAGGTTCCCAGACAAGTCTGGGAGATTCCTACCTCCAAAGCCAGAAGTAGAACTGTGGCTCGAGTGGTAGAGCACCAGCCTCGAGGGAAAATGTCTGGGAGAGAGTGGGTACCTCACAAGCTCCGGGACCTGTCTTCCCCCGTGTTCCAGGCGCTCTGTGCTATGCCGAGCTGGGCACAATGATCACCAAGTCGGGGGGCGAGTACCCCTATCTGATGGAGGCCTTTGGCCCCATTCCTGCTTACCTGTTCTCCTGGACCAGCCTGATAGTCACAAAGCCCACGTCCTTCG